TAAAGTAATTAAATGTAGTCCCATGTATGAATTTTCAGTTGCTGAGTCATGCACCCTAGCATCACAGTGCTACTTTAATGTTGTTTGTATGATTTTGTGCCGTTTCTCTTTTCATACCAATGTCAGTTAGAATAGCTAATTGGTGCCATTAGCAACTTAGGCTCTATTGACAGCATTTGTGATGGCATTGTTGGTTTGGTAAGACTCGTAATGCTGTCAATAAAGCTTAAGTTGCTAATGGCACCAATTAGCTATTCTGCTTTGGTAAGTTTGAAAAGAGAGAGTGTATGTTAAAATAGTTAACTGGTGTCATCTTATGGCTAAGATTGACCACTGACTAATAAACTGGCCTTGGAGGACATCATTACTTATTCATTAATATACATCATTACTTATATACTTATTACATTACTTTACATACTTATACATCATTACTCTCTCAATATATAGCAAGGATGAAAATGTCTCAGAAAAGCAAGGAAACTAGTAAGATAAACACAAATATTGCTAATAGTCAATAAAGTAATAATGATTTATTTTTTAATATTGTTGCATAATCCATAGTTGCATAGTTGCGAAATATTGTTTCTTTGAGCTAACTCGTAAGGTCTTCCTGATCACGCTGTCAGGGTTCATTTTGCATTAGTGACTGAATGGCTGCACATTATCTATAATGATGCATCGAAATTATGCTTTTTTGGCCAAAACCTAAATTAAAGTTTTAAATTTGGCTGAAAACTGAAAGTAAAGGTTTGGTAATTGAATTTGGGTAATATGGTAACTGAACAGGGTTTTTCAGTCATAGTAAAGACACCTCTCGATATGAACACATCTTACATGTTGCTAGCATAATTTTTGGTCATGCTGAAGTGTGTCACTGCTGACACGTTTACCTGTTGTAGTTTATCCATGATGTGTGCACGAGATCACAGACACTGACACAAAACATGCCACTGGAGAACACTCAAAAAATGTTTTTGCTGCTTGTTCAGTTTACACTGTTAAAATGTATGGAAGCAACACAAGTCTTGAATGTTAAATCCACTTAAATTTGCAAAATGGAAGTTAACTTGATCATTTTGTGTTGGGACTACATGAATCATTTTTGTTGACATGATGTACTGAGCAGTGGGTCTGTAGTTCCCAGCATGCTTTGCATGGTACTGCATTAGAAAT